CAGCTGAAAAAGTTATAGGTCCTGTCCAGTCTTCTACAACTACATTTGTGGCCTGAATATGTGCTTTTTGATAGTGAGTTGTCTGGTAATGTTTGATGTTGTTTCTTATAATGATTGCTGTCCCACCATGTGCAGTTCCATCTGGATGTGTTGTGTGATATACTTTGTAGTTGTGAAATTTTATGAAACTTTTTTTCGTGAAGTGTGTTTCTGAAATCAGTATTATGTCTAATTGATGATTAACTATAAATACATACAACTCGTGTTTGTGTTGTGTCAAGCCATTAGCATTCCATATGGTAAATTTTAGTGTATTAGCCATTAGTTCATTTTTGAGACAAGTGTTGTTAGTAAGTTTAGCATGGTGCTAATTTGTTCCATAAGCCCTTTCATCATATTCTTTAACTCTTGCATGTCATTTGCCTGAGTGACCATTGTAGTATCTTGTTGGTTGGTATTTATCATTTGAGCATATGTAGGTCTTTGTGTTGTACTTATATTTGTTGTAGCCACTGGTAGCTGTTGGTTTTGTAGTTGATTCTGTGACTCTTTCTTTCTTAGGTTGGAAATCTTGCTTCTTGCAGTTGTTTATGTACACTGCATCCTCTATAGTTCGCTGGATGGTTTTTACCGCAAAGTACACACTTTACAAGATCAGATCGAATTTTCTTAGGGCAGTCAGCTGTTTTGTGATTTAGAGCACATTTTACACACCTGTATTGATGATAGCAGAAATTTTTTTGTGTGACCATATCTTTGACATCTGGTACATTGTACTAATTCTCTTTTTAGTCTTGGGGCTTCGACATCAATTTTTGCGTTGAGTAAATATTCTATCTGATAAATTTCTTTATTATTTTCTTGCATTTTCAAGTCCACAAAAAATAGCGGTAGGGGTTTTTTTTGTAGTTCTTTGAAGTATATTCGTTATTTGTAGAACGATATGTCCTTGGCTCTCTAGTTCTTTTTTGATTTCGTTTTATATCCACTGTGGGATGAAGATGACGAATCACTACTCTAAAGGGTTTATCTTGCTTCTTACGATATGTATGATATTCGGTTTTTTTCTCATCAAGTGCTTTTATTATACTGTCGTATATTTCAATTGTTTAGGCCTGTACCTTGACTTGTTTCTTCATTCAACACTCTGATTAAATGTTTGTCTTTGGCTATAGTGTTTAATAGTTCGTTTAATGGTTGGATGTATTTAACACCGGCAATAAATATCGGTGGGGGCTTCTCTTCCTGTTTTTGTTTTTTCCTCTTCAGTATCTGCTTCGTGTGTCTCTTCATTGATTAATTACATTTAAATTTATTTGCTGTTGGTGTGTTGAGCCAGTAGTTATCTATCTTGGTTTGTTTAAGTTTGGGGTGTTGTTCCGGACTGGTTCTCTCCCACGTTTTTTATTTTGGTACTATTTGCCATTCTTCATCATTTGCTTTCGATGTGCTTGGGGGTTGATATGTGTGGTAATGTACTTTGGACTGAATACTGGTATTGAGGTTGATATAACTGCATTGGCTGGTTTAGCTGGCTTGGAGCGAAATTTTGCTGGATTTGTGATGCGGGATGTGGTCCCGTTTGCATTTGTTGTGGAAAGTATCTAGTTGTTGAACTGTTAAGTTTTGGTCCCTGAGTGTTCATCTGGCTAGATGTTGAACATTGAGGAGTATGGAAATGGATATTGATTATATCGTTCGTACATTGTGGTTTAACTATTTAATATTAGTATAAGATGTTACCTTTGATTTGTGGATTCCAAAAAATTAGCTTCGCAACACATTTTTGACACAATCGCCAGCATCTAATATTAATATAGTTACTTTATTTTTATTATTTAATTTGTTTTGGAATAATTAATTAGGTTGATTTAAATATTATAAAATCTGTTTTGTATCACTACACCAAATTTATTTTTAATATTTCAAGTCCATTAAGGTATAATTAGCTTTTAAATGGCAAAATTGATAACAGTAATTGTTTTATCTACAACCATCCTCGATCAAGTTTGGACGACGACAATATAATATTTGAACCACTATTGATGAGACAGCTGTTACAGCAGTAGGGTAAAAAAAATGGGTCTATTCAGTGATATGTGGGTTAATAAAGTAAATATTTTAAAGTATACAGGGTTACTCAAAAAAGTGTGGAATATCAAAACTTCTTTGTTCTTAAGGAACACCCTGTATTGGGCATTCTAACATGACTCTTCCGACTTTATTAACTGGTGCTCTATTTATGCAAGAAAAATTAATGTGACAGCTTTAGAACTTAAGTGAATAAATATATACACAGATAGTTGAGCAGATCTGTGTGCTCCCAGGGGCCCTAAGGTAGTCTCTAGGCTAATCTGGGAATGCTGAGAACTTAATAGATTGGAGGAACCTAATAGTGTCAAAATGGTCTGGGTACCATGTCATCAGAGAATAAACAGCAATGAAAGATCTGTTGACTTACTAAAAGAGAATAAATTACAAAATACTTCATTCTGGAGCTGGCCTTATGGTTTCCAAACAGCACTCTCAGGGACCTGGAGAAAGCGTGTATCCAAAACCAAAAGCACATGGTAAAATGTATATTGGGCAGACATGCACTATTAGGTAGTATCAAAATGTGGGCTATAGAACAAGCTAATAATAAATGTAGCCAACTAATACATAATGTATATAAAACGTAACTATGATAGTACAACTAGGCGAAAATACAAATCTTATCCCGATTAAGAGAGGAGTTAGGCAAGGCGACATAATATCTCCAAAGCTTTTTAATCTAGCCATAGATGTCTTCAAAACTTTAAATCGATCAACATATGGCATCAATGTGAATAGCAAGAAGTTAAATCAACTCAGATTTGCTGACGACATCGTGATTATACTGAGCTGATTCAAGGAATTACAAATTATGATGAAGGAACTCATAGACAGCTCCCAATACATCAGCCTTAAAATGAATATGACAAAAACAAAAATAATGACCAACACAGATGATCCCAGATGTGTAATTATATATGGCAGTGAGATAGAACAAGTCCAGGAAATAAGGCCTACCTAGGTCAAATTCTGAAACTTGACAAAGACAACCAAAGCGTGGAAATCACTACAATGGATACTGAAGAACTGCAAAATACCTCAATACTTGAGAAGCAAAGTGTTTAATCTGAACCCTAACCAAGGCAAATATGAATAAACTAGCCACAACAGAAGGGGAAATGGAAAAAGCGATGTTAAGTATACAACTGTCAGATAAAAAGACTGGGTAAGATCAAAAACAAAAGTTAAGGATATCACACCAAAAATTGCCAAACACAAATGAGGCTTCTCAGGTTACACTGCTAAACAAAAAAACCAACGTTGGAATGCCACAATACAACATGAGAGACCTTACAACCTTCTAACGTTAGACAACCAAGACGACCACATATGAGATGGATGGACAACATAAAAAGAATAGCCTGAACAAATTGAAAGTATGTTGCTCAGGATAGAGATTGATAGAAGAAGTTGGAAGAGGCCTGTGTCCAAAAATGGATGAGAGATGGCTAAGAAGAAGAAGAAATATGCACTAATAGGGCTCAAATACTATAGAAACCAAGCAGGTATCAATTAAGAATTATAGCAGGTGTCCTTACTGTACATGCTTTAGTCAAGGAACTACTGCATATTATTATAGTGGGACTGCTTCATGGTCACTTAAGCTTCAGATTCTGTGGCACAATCTGAAACAATCAACCATATGTTGCATGACTGCAAGGGATAAAATCACAGGCAGCAGATATCTTTTAGAGACTACTTAGTAATTAAAAAAACAATTGGTACCTATCCACTACACATACACAAACTGATACAAGGTTCCATAATTCTGGAATGGGTATCATGAATAAATGGAAGATGTACAATAAGCCAATTGACTTCAGTAGCCAGGATATTCTTCCTCCTAGACCTCTTCCATGCAACTTGTTCTGCTGTAGCTTAATTTGAAGCAGTTTATATATGTGTTCATTGTACAGTATGTGATCTAGTTATTCCAGTTTGCATTGTTTTATTGTTCTTATTTTCTTACAATCATCCCGATTCTTTCTAGAAACTCTTCATTTATAACACTTTCTTTCAAAAGATCTTTAATATGATTCTATAGCAGCACTTTCAAATGCTTTGGGTTGTTTCATTAATGCCTCAGATTCCAATCCATATTTAAGAAGAGTGGAGCAGTACCTCAACAAGTTGATTTTAATTTTCAATTCTGTGTTGTGACTTTTTTTTTTCATTTTGTTGACGGTTCCTGCCTTCTTAATCTTTATTTCAGTTTAATATTCCCAATGATCATATAATTCATATGAAGTAAAAACTCACATTGAAAAAGTCAGAAGGTCTTTTAACGATCTTAAGAAGAACATCTGCAACTTATCTTTAAGTATCAATATACACATAAGAATTCTTAGATGTCACGTATTTAGTGTTCTCCTCTACGGAATAGAAATCTGGAGTCTTACGGAAGAAGCTATAAAACAGCTACAGGCATTTCAAATGTCGTGCCACCGACATATGTTAAGGGTCTCATTATATACACCAAACAACTAACATAACTAAGTATTCTCCAGAAGCTAAGAAAAGACAAAGAAATTAGTTACACTGTAAAGAACACAAAAATTTGTTGCTTAATTCAGCCACATTTTGCGTAATAATAAATACAGACATATATCCTAGCTGGCCAATCTTAGGAAATGGACTGGTGTAACGTCAACTGACCTATTTTGAGCTGCTGTGAATAGAATAAGATGGGTCAATGTGGTCGCCAGCATCACTAGACGATAGGCACTGATAGACGATAGACGATTTTGGAGAAGATGAAAGTTCACCACAGTATATAAAGCTGGAACACAAAATATAAAAATAATTTTTTTTCAGATTTATAATTAAATTGTACATGTATAAATATAGTATGTATCTAGAATATCATTTTTGAATGTAGGTATATTAAAAAAGTTGTTTGTTCACAGAAAAGCACGACGTAAAGAGAAAGAAGGAAGTGAATCAACATCATCAAATGACTCAAAATTGTATTTAGAGGCCACTGTTTTAGAACGAAAATTACCAGAAATGGATATGCGACTATTAGTAGATTTACCACCAGGTCTTGACTATAATGAATGGCTAGCATCACATAGTAAGTAGAAACATTTATTTTAACAGGGAAGGTTACTACCAACCATGTAAGTTACAGTAAAGAGTGATTTTAGTATATTCCCTTGCAATCTTCTCATTTTATTTCCTAGGTGGACCTGTGTTTCTTTTTCAGCTGCCCCTATTTTAAGTGACTACTATGTACGCACTTGATGACTTTATAAATAATGTTTTTATGTACTTTCAGATAATTTTAGTGCTCCTTGTTCTTCGTTTCAGCTATTTGTATTTGTTTTGCAGATTTGATTTACACGAATTTTACCCGTTTTTAAATAGCTCTGTATATTTTAAATAGTATCACATTTTACTTCAGTGGAGAGTAATTAATATTTGAAGTGATCAATCCATCTGGTTATTATATCGCCAATAATATATCCGTTACTGCCCCTTTCACTTGTAGTTTGAATTCTTTTCTTGTTAAAGAAATTTTTAATTTCGTTCTGACCCTTTAGTAGTAAAAGTTTTTCTTTATCTTCTTTTTCTTAATTCTAAATTTATCTTCTCTCCTTAATTTCTTATAGACTTGATCCTTATCCCGAGTTCTTTTTCGCTGCAAAGTTCCTATATGCAGTATTCTTTTTTATCATCATTGAAGAATCCATTGCGTGGTTTGGGATATTCTGTTTCGAGCATATTATCTGTAGCTTGCTTAATAATTGCTCTTTTACGTATGCCCCATTGCTCACTGGATATTAAGGTTCGTGTTATCATTTTCGATATGTTAATTTTGTTTTTCTCTATTGTGTAGGGTCAAGTGGGGAAATTATGAGACATTATTTAAATCTTTTGATTTTTGATGTCTAAACGGCAATACAATTTAAAGCGAAAAACATTTATATGTACAGAAAAAACCTTCTCATATGGTCAATTTGCCAATAAATTATCAACTTTTTTAAAAATATTTCATTTATATGTCTCATTTTTCACCCCTAATAATGTACAATTATGAGACAACCTCTGGGCAAGTTTGAGACATATTTAAAAGCTGTGTTTAAGTAAGTAAAATTGGGTTTGGAAGAAAGTGAAACATTATATAAAAGAAAAAAAATTAAAAGGTAGGTATAGTAAATAGTAACATTCAAATGGAAATGTAGATTAACAAAAATTTAGGTTTCTTGAACATTGTAAGAAAAATCTATTTCAAATATTAGGGACTTCTTCATGCGTTCTGTCCCACTATGGGAAGTCGGATTAGGAATCTTCACTACTACGTCTATAGGATCGACCTCGTGTGTTTCTGGATTGGAAGGATATATAAATGAATTGCCCTTACGCCAGAAATAAGATATTGCATGGGAACCCATTATCTACCGGTTCAACATGAGCAACGTAATATACAATCTTCTTTTTCGTAGGAAAATTGTACGATTCTGTAGTTGTCCTCCTTCATCGGATATATATCTCGATCTTGATTGGGTTCCATTTCATTCTTCACGATATCGTTTAGTGTCAAATTCTGCATGTCACATTCATCTTCATAGATTTCTTCAATCTGCCCGTCTTCGCTGTCACATAATACTGCATTTTTCTTGTTTTTTGTTTTTTTTATTATGCCTTTCCTATTTCAGTCTTAGAAATAATTTCTTGCATGTATTCAAAACTAGTCAATACTTTAGTAGATCCATCTATTATGTGCTTTTTTACGATTTTGGAGTCGTTCTTTTAACCTTCTTGAGTAGAAGTGGCTCGAAAGACATAAGAATTTGATTTATTGTCGACTCTACCATTGTGTTACTGAGAACAGTTCGAGTTTTAAACAAAGTAGATTTAGTAATATTTGTACAATAAAGGGACTGCTGGTCAAAAACTTGTTCCTCAGAAATTTCTAATTGGTTGATTGTACTTTCTACATTATAGTACCTATTCAGTTTGTCATGATCTAAAATGTCTATGGGTTACTTTTATCTGTCACAGGATAGGCCGCAGTAATAAAGAAGGAACAAATGGTTGTTTCCTCATGTTCCATAATTTCATATATTAAGTCCGAAAATTCAGATTTCGATAAATTTCTTTGATTTTCAAGTTACCAGTTAACTCATTTTTCATTCCAACGGAGCTCTAATGGTCCAAAGCAGCATTTGTCCAAAGGTTTTAAATGGTCCTGTGTGTGTGTGTTGGAAGTTTCAGTAAAGTTATATTTTCTGAGATTGCCCATTCAATTATACTTTTGTCGAAATGGTAATGTGACCATCAAGAATTATATTTAATGGTCTTTTGGACACTATTGCACAACATTTTATAAACTACTGTTGGAAAATATTGGTAGTCATCCAACATTTTTCCAAGCATTCATACAAAGTATTTAATATGTCATGTTATCCCTTCCAGCTAGACCATAACTTTGCTCCTTGAAAAATAATTAGTGGTGGTAGTAATCTACCAGAAGCTGAAATACATACCATGACAGAAGTATTTTATTTTCCTGAGACCTGTATACTCCTATAATTTTTTTGCCTCTTTCCAGCCACACCCTTAATACGAGAAAGATCGGAATAAAAACTGGTTTCATCTATGTTCCAAATAAGCTGACGGGATTTACTTAGGTTTAATTTATTGATGGTTTACTGTACGCAGTCGTAAAATGTTTAAACCAAAAATGGATCGCTGGTTGCCGTTCGTCTATGTAATTCTAATTGCTTTATCTTCTTCTGGCTTAACTCTTGCTGCTTTTACAAAAAGCACCAAAGCAGTCGTGCCCAGATTTGTCGGTTTTAAATTGAATTATGATGTTCTCATCTACAAAGATTTCTAAAGACTGTTTCTAAGATTTCTTGTTTTGTCATGGCAAAACCCCATTCGGCCAAAATTCTAATTTTTTCCGCCAGGTCATACTCCATTTCGGGTCTAAGATCGGTTTTTCAACATTGTATTGTATTGTTTTTTTCCATGGAACCGTCTACTTAATATGGATTTATCTATTTTAAAGCGTTTGGATGCCATTCTTAAACTAATCATACCTTCTCCGATAAGATTTAATGCTGCCTGAAGGTCTTCGTCAATTATATGATTGTCTTTCACATATGTTGTTGGAATTTTGCTAAAAAACAGAATTATTAGTCTCATTTTTTACCGAACCGTGTCTCATATTTACCCTAAAGAATGTCTCGCTTTTGCACCAGCTAAATAATTCGACGTAACTTAATTATGCTTCAAGACAGACTGCCGCGCAAAAGGGCTAACGATTATGAAAGTATTCTCGGTATATCGACGGGTTTACCGAGTTAAACTGAATCAAATAGCGGCTCGAACGATGAAAGTTAGGAAACGAAATTAAATTTTTTTTTTCGTTTATAAATGCATAAACTAATTTTGCACTATGAATATTACGTTTATATTTTAAGTGCCCAATAAGGTACTTTAAAGTTTTGGCTATCGTTGACTATGTATTAGTACCAAAATTCTGTTTTTTTTTTCTTTAAAAATATTAACTGTTTTATTTTTGCATCACTTTTTTCAGTGTCTAACATTTCCACCACATGACCCTACCTCTTTTCTTTTTCGCATTCGGAATTCTGTCTTTTTTCTGTTTACAATAATTTTTACTTTTTATTTCTGGCTTTATTTTATCCATATGTGTATATTTGATCTATTTTATTCGTATAAGGTATATATACTGGTAAATTTGTCTATAAACCACTGCACGGATATAATCTTTAAAGTAAAACCAAATTGTAGTATAAACTAAGACACCACGACCCCAAAATTTTTAATTTATTTAGTTAACCCTATTACAAGAGAATTGTGTCACAGATATTTTATTATAAATGGTTCATATATCGCCTATATAGCCAAGAAACATGCACAAAATTGATTGAAACCTATTTGGTTTTCATTCGAGGTTAGTATTTACATTATCTATATTACATTGCAGCGTGATGTCATAGGTTTATTATAGAATAGCAGTCCAATAAGCGACAATAATCGTGAAAGATTTTTCTATTTATGGAATATGCAGTTACTTGAGGGACCTAAAATATAAAATGCAGCACTGTTTTTAATTCCTACAGAATAAAGTGAACTTAACAAATTTCGCTGAAACATCAGCTTCCTCCGATGAATTATAATTTAAAACTAAATTTACAAAAATAATGTTGGCCCTTGCTCTTCGTAACTTCTTACTGTCTTGGGTAATTACAAAATCTTTTTTAAATCCATCGATAATGATTTATTTAATTTGATTCACCCAGTGTATATAGGACCTTTCTCTAAATTATTTGTCTTTACTTTTGTTTTTACAAAAAGTTTTGCTTGGCTTTGAATGGTTTATATTCGTCGTAAGTCTTGTATTTCCTATAATTAATTCGATAGCAACGTCGTGATATTTTAGAAAAAGTGTATCAACAGTTTTTTTAGTTATTTAATGCAGTAGTAAATACAAATATAAACAATAGTTGTACTTTTTCTTACTTGGACGATCAAAAGGAATATCCACAGATCGACAAAAATATGGTGTATCAACTTAAAATACTATTATAGACTCGGTTTCTTATCGCAGTGGAACACTACTCGTCTCTGGCACTTGGTCTTAAGAACTTTGCACCAAAATTGTCCTTGTATTAACCTTCTTCAAGAAGTCTGGTGCTGTAGATAGAAACCGTCAACTACATAGATCGATAGCGATAATACATAGCGATATACATAGAGATATACATAGCGATAATATTAGACTCTGGTTCATTAGTGGCCTCACTCTGCGTCGATTTATTATCATCATACGTTGATCTCTCATGTACTTGACTTTCTTTTTGGAGATCCTTTTGTTAGTTTTTGGGTCCTTGTTAAAATCTCCTTAGTCCTCTAAAGTCTTACGGTCCCGTTTTTTTACTTTTATTAATTTAGTCTATTCTGATATATAAGTCCAAATATGAGAGGATGTGTAGATTGTTTGTGACAATTCCTTTTAGACACGCAACTGCCATGAAAGATTATTCTAAAATATTTCGATGTACTCGTCTACTGCCATAGACAGTAGGATTTAGTGTGTCGTTTATCCATGATCCTAAGTATTTTTTAAATGGTTAATTTTTCTATGGACTCATTGTTGAAAATTAGTTACATAGCACCGTCTTACCTATTAACTATAATTAGCTTTGTATTTGATGTATTTATGTTTAGTTTATTCGTGGAGCATTCTCTAGTGGCTCGGTGTATAAGGAATTAAAGATCTTCAATAATTTTCCCCCCAATTAGGACTCCACATTTTTCTTCTAAGGCTTTCTTTATATTATTTCCGAGTATACGTTACACAAAGTTGGGATAACACACAACCTTGTCTGAGTTCTCTTTCGGTGAACATGATGTCTCTCTCGTTATTGCCTACCAGAATGGAGGTTTTTTGTTTCAAATGTAAATTGTGAACAAGCCTTAGATCTCTATAATTTATTCCCATCATCTCTAGATATTCAAACAGCCTATCGTGTTGGACCCTTTCAAACGCCTTTTCAAAAAGAAGACGTAAATTTTTTTCTGCATTTCACATGATCTTTGGAGTAATTGAAAACATTGAAAACAATGCCTCCCTTGTTCCTAATCCTTCTCTGAAACCGACTTGTTTGTTTGCCATAGTTTTTCACATTTCTGTTTAATTCTATTAAAAATTATTATTACAAACAGTTTAACAGAGTGACTCGTAACAAGTCATAACGATGTATTAGGTTTCTTTGGAAGTGGGATAAATGTATAAATACCCTGATGGTATTTGGTCATGGCTTTTTCTACGTCTGCTTTTAAAATCCTAGGACCGGTATTCGTATATTTTGTGGTGTTAGGTAAGTGGTGTCCTCGTATCAAGGAAGAGTTCTTTTATGTATTTAGTTCATTCTTCCTTTTTCTCGCTTAAGTAAAGGAGTATTTTCCATATTGAGTTTTTCATGAAGTAAGTTCTTTTAAATTTCGTTAGCTATTGTTATCATTACGGAATTCATAGTATCTAGATTTTCGTCTATATTTACTTGTAATTTGATTTCTGAGTACCTATCTTGCCCTTTTGATCAGGTAACGTTTTTAAGGTGTATAGTTGCCTTTTAATTTGCTATAACCAAGTATTGGTAGAATTGGATTCTGCCTCTTGTCAGAACTATGTTGACTATGAACATTATGTTGACAGTATGCAAGTTCATACTGTCCAGTTATAATTTGTGTGCTTACAACTTTTGAGTTGAAGTTTTCCATAGTAATATTAACTTCGGTATCTTTGAGTACTTCATAGAATTTCAGGTACAGTTAAGAATCTCTTCTTCAATAATTATGCCGACTCCGTTACTTCTGAGTTCTTCTGCCTTCCCTGATAGTCCGGCAGCAGGGTACTTTTCAGTATGCATGGAAGGGTGGATAGTTGAAAAGTGTATTATCTTATGCAAAATGTTTCTCTGAATACGAACATCTAGCTCCCCTATCACAAAATATGGTACCAATTTTTATAAACAATTTTTTGTTATTAAATTTTCAAATTTAAATATTTTAATTTACTTCCCTATTTACGTCCCATTCAAAAGTATGGCTAAAAATACACTAAAAGTGCTATATATGTTACATATAATTGTAATGATGATTGTAATTCAAATAACAATTGGCAGATTTAATATCTTATTGTCAATTCTATAAGAGATTCACTTACCTTTTGTGAATGCGGCTGATATCTAGAGGCTGGTGCACGGCTTGGAACCTAAGGGTATGCTGGACGTTTAGTTGATGATGGTACGGATGGTCTTGAGATGCATTCGCGATGACGAGTTGGTTTAGAGTGCCGTACATACGGAAGGAATACGCATTAACTAGCGTGGTTCTTTTGTTCTTAGGACCCGTGCATAGCAATAAATTAAGCTTAAAATGTCATTTTAAACTTTCTGCAAAAAGGACGGGTACGTTTCCTTAAGGAATCTGAAGTGTTTTGGGTTGATACATAGTTTCCAAAAAACACGTTGTTTTCAGACAAGTGAATTCTCAGAACTTAGCAATAATGAATCAGTCAATTTAGGAGTGAGAATTTAAAAGATGTGGAAATAAAGCCATATTCTAATTAGCCGTATTATAATTAATTATAATTCAATAAAAAATTTAAAACTAAATAAGGTCATATTCTGAATAATAAAATTAAAATATTTAAATAAGTCTTGAACACTTTTCCAAACAAACCGAGTCCCACTAAAATTGTTCGTTCAAGAAGCACTTTCTTCCATAATATTTCCCAGAATTGGTTTGATGCAAACGTATGCATACATATAGAAACTTTAGACGAATATTTCGAAAAGCAATAAAACACTTTGTTTCGAACTTGTTATTTTCTTTTTCATTTTTTGTATAAACTTACCAAACAACCCCTGCATTAGTATGTGAATGTAGCATAAATATAAGAAGCCTTACTAATAAGAAACATTATTTGTAGCTATGGCCCTATTTGACCATGTAAATCTAGTATATGGTGCAATTAGTGAATTTTGTACTCCATCCGGTTGTCCAGACATGACAGGTCCAGGTCAAAGGTAAGTTAAAACTGTTTGTGTAATATTATAGTATTCTCAGATTTTTTATTTAATATTTTTGTCAATTTAAAGACCATATGTCATATTCTGTTTTTGTAAAATTCTAAAAAATTATATACAACAATTTTAATCTCTAAATTATACTATATTTAGCAATTTAAATGTATTTTAATACATAAGTATCACTACCACAACGTAGATATATTTATCAACAATAATAAAAAGTATGAATAATACATATTTTTCAGACATAATTTTTAAATCAGTTGAGGTTTTTACAAACATATATTATTGGACAGTTTTAACACATTATGCCAATAGTACTTATTGGCATGTAACTTGTGTACTTTTCTTTCTTCTATTGTTGACGTTGTTTTGGTATTCCAAGCGGCTGTTTTCTTTTGCTGATTTTTTTTTGTTTTATTATTTCTTTGTTTATTTCTGATTTATTTCTTTTGGTTTCCTTTTGCGACTTTTTCTTTTTGTGTTCTGTTTTTTCTACTTTTCTGTTCCGACTGCTGCCCTTTATTTACATTTGCTAGCTCGTTATTTATGTACTGCTTCCTCCCTTATATTGTTTTTTTTTGCTGTCTATTTTTCCTTTTCTATTTTAGCAACTTTCCTAATTTGTTTTTGAGTTTTTGTTTATTCCTTCATTCCATCATTATTTAAAAATATTCTCCCGTTTGTAGTATACTTTGATTTGTTTTCCTATTCAAGATTTTTTTCTTTCCTCTCTATTTCTCCACATGATTTGATGTATGTATGTATATTATGTATATCTAGATGTATGTATGTTGGTGCGTGTATTGTTATAAAATAATATACGCTTGTAAAATACACACAGATACAAATAAAATGTAAAATATTTGGGGAAGCATACATTAGAATTTTCCATTTCGGTTTGTATGGTGCTGACGATGTAACCCTTCACCACTCAGTATATCATTACAGTTACAGGAGCTAGTTCAAATAAAAGTTCTTACACTCAGTCCAGCTCATTTTTTTAATCCGTACGAATCTGTCAAATTGAAAGGTTTTTAGTCTAATGATGATTGAAGTATGAATTAGATAATTAGATACCAGTTAAAATCAAACCAATATTTGACCAACGTTAATTGACATCGCGTGAACTAATTGTTCTTTTTCATATGGGGAATATGAAACAATAATGACAAATTTAGGCAAAGTTAGGCCGAACTAACATAAGTCAACCTTATCTTTCTGATAGTCTAATTAACACAACACTCAAGATTCTTGGAAGCATGGAATCATGGCCTCGATACTCTAAAAAGGGCAGAACTTTAAAACGAATCAACAAAGGTCCTACGATAGAATTGACCCCCTCATATAGAGAGGTTTTAAAGAAATATCTATATGAGCTATATGACCCATTTCAAATTTGATCAGGTAAGAATGTTACCACAAAAATCCCACTATGAGCAGCCTAGACCAATATTTGCATCCTCCAGCAGAGTTAGAAGAGGAGCCATAGCAGAGAACCATCTGTGTCTCATTTTTACAGTAACTACTTGCCATTTTCTCCGCCAGAGAAAATTAAACACCTTACAGCTGGTGCAAAAAAAAACTGAGCCTACTATTGGATGTGACTCAAATTGTCACAATACTGTGTTGAGTAGTACAGACATAAAAAAGGTGAGCATCTATTAAAAATTTTTTGTAAAATAGACATTAAAAAAGGTCTATAAAAAGTAACAAACCTTATTTATCACTGCAACTAGGAAATAGCTACTGGATATCATTCTAACTAGTTTACTGCAAATATAATTCAGAACTGGCATGTCTATGACGAGGACTCAGATTAGTCACAGAATCCTGCGTTTTGATGTTGATGCGGAACGTGAGCAACTCCTGACCTATCGTATACCGAAGCAGACTGGTGGTCATACAAGAATAAATTAAGATCAGATGTTGACGGCATCATTTATACAATTGGAACCGTAGACGAACTCGAAATAGCATCACACTGGTTGAATCGTATGACAATAAACTGTTATGTTCTATCAAGAATAAAGCCGTCAATAGAGATGTTCCTTACTGGAACTAGGAATTAGAAAAATTATAACAGAGTTACATAACAAAATATACAGAGTTAAAAAGGTCTAAAAGGAAAACAACGAGGCAGTTCTGCGAGGAGACCACTTCTACGACATTGGACTACTTGAAAAGCCAAACGGTAAGTTTGCGGGAACCAAGCATAAGAAAGAAACCATAAGACGCATTTATACTTATTACTTTTCTCCGTCTTGCATCTTCTTAGTTTGCTTTTTTTTCTCTGGTTCTTCTTTCCGTATATTTCTTGTGTTTTTCATTTTTTTTTCTGTATGTCCTTTTACCACTCGTCGTTGAACCATTCTCCTTTTGTATTTTTTCTTTTTTGTTGCCTATGATATTTCTTGCTGCGTCAATTACTTTTGTTTTGATTTCTTTCCAATGTTCTTCGGTGCATAGACTGCCTGTCTTTGTCAGTGTTTGTGTTATTAGTCATTAGTAACTGAAAGAAATGAGTAATATATTAAAAAAACGAGTTCCCTCTGTACTTGTTGACACTAATAACAAAATTATTGTAAATGAGCAAGACATAAGAAAAGAATGGCAGCTGTATATATCAGAGTTGGTTGAAGATGACAGGAATAATATTGCCGAATTCTACCAAAACTGTACTGACGGCCCAGAAATTATGAAATGCGAAGTAGAACATGCTATAAATAATGCTAAAATTAGAAAAGCTTGTGGTCCAGATGATACACCAATTGAGCTGCTGAAACTAATAGAGAATGATACCATAAAAGTAGTAGTAAGACTTTTTAATTCAATATATAACACCGGAGTGATTCCCGCAGATTGGCTCAAATCCATCTTTATCGCAATACCTAAAAAACACAATGCGAAAAAATGCTCAGAATATCGATTAAATAAATATAAGGTTGGATGTTCGAATAATTAAACTTTGAGGGTATACAAGGCAACTATCGAACACGGTGATTAATGGGCAAGATTAAATTAATCACCGTGTTCAATAGTTGCCTTGTATACCCTCAAAGATCGATTAAATAGCCTAATGAGCCACACTCTTAAAATTTTCCTCAGAATACTTCACAACAGAATTAGACGCAAATGCGAAGATCTTGAAGATACCCAATTTGGTTTTAGAAATGCTGTGGGAACCAGGGAGGCACTTTTTTTCGCTTAATATCCTATTACAAAAATGCCGTAACCAAAGAAAAGATGTATTTGCATGTTTCGTGGACTTCGAAAAGGCATTCGATAAAGTACAGCATGTAAAATTAATGCAAAGACTGAAAAATATCGGAATGGATGACAAGGATATTCGTGTCATTAAAAATTTGTACTCTAATCAAACTGCTATCGTAAAAATTGGAGATAACTACACCGATGAAATCCCCATACAACGAGGAGTCAGACAAGGTTGCATTTTGTCGCCAACATTGTTGAATGTTTACTCGGACCAGTTATTTAAAAAGGCACTTGAGAAACAACCATATGGAATAAAAATCAACGGGGAACTACTTAATGTGATTAGATATGCAGACGATACAGTAATTCTATAAGATAATATTGAAGGTCTTCAAATTCTGCTTGATCGTATTCACGAGGTAGGAGAGGAAATGGGCACTAAAATAAACTCAAGCAAAACTATATTTTTAGTGTTTAGTCGTGACCCACATCCCGATGCAAAGCTTCAATTGAACGGAGTCCAAATTGAGAAAGTTCACAAAATGACATATTTGGGAACTGTGATAACGGACCAACTAGATTCAGACATAGAAATAAAACGTAGAATAGCAATAACTAAAACTACTTTTATGAAAATGAAGTCATTTCTTTGCAATAACCATCTCTAAGAACTTTAGTTTAGAACTAAGGCAAAGAATGGTTAAGTGCTATGTTTGGTCTGTACTTTTGTATAGTACAGAAGTGTGGACGCTAAAATTATCGATTATGAACAAAATTGAAGCATTGGAAATATGGGTTCATAGACGAATGCTGAAGATACCTTGGACAGCAAGAAAAACTAATGAAGAAGTACTAAGGAGCGTCAACAAAGACAGAGAACTGCTAAAGACTGTTGAACATCGAAAAAGTCTTATCTGGGACATATAGTAAGGGGAAGTCGATATAAAATTTTACAACTGATCCTTAAAGGCAAAATAGAGGACCGTAGAGGTGTAGAAAGAAAACAAGTTTCTTGGTTAAAAAACATTCGTGAATGGACTCAGATACCAAATGCAGGACAATTATTCCATACTGCAGAAGATCGAGAAGCCTTCGCAATGGTGATCGCCAACGTCGGATAATTCTGATATGGCACGCGAAGAAGAAGAATCTAGTTGTTCTGTTGTTTGTTTCTGCCTGTCCCTACTGTTTCTCTGAATTCTGCATCTGTATTTTATCTGTGTTAGGAGATGGTCAGATCAGCAGCATGCTCCCGGTTCTTCACATGCTTACTTGTTGCGGCCCATTTGTCTATCAAGACATGATCAATTTGGTTGGCGCTTGTTCCACCAGACATAATCCATGTCGCTTTATGTATGTTGTGGTGTGTGAAAAAAGTCGAGCTTATGATATGTTTTTTCTACTAGCAAAGTATACGTAGTTCTCTATTTTCATTGGTGTTTTGATGGAGTGAATGTTTACCAATGGTTCCTAAGAAAAGTTCTTCTTTGTCTATTTGAGAATTCATATCTCCTAGTACGATCTTGATGTCAAGTTTCGGTGAGACTTCCTCTAGCTTTTCGTAGAAATCTGCTTTTATTTTCATGCTATGTTCTTCTGTTGGGCAATGTATGTTAATGATTGAGAGGTTAAAGAATTTTATTTTTAATTTTAATTTACATATTAGTGTTACGTAGTTTAAATAATCCCTCAATGGGGTCTATTAACGTTGCCGCAGCGGAAAAGGGTATATCACATCCTAAAAGGTTAAGTATCTCGGAGATATCCTAGATATAAACTGTACGTGAAATGGTCACTTCGCAAATATTGCCATCAACAAGAGCTGTTGGACGTGCCGTAGGGTTTGTGGCAACACATTGGGTCTGAAATAGTGCACTCACAAAAGTGCAAATACTCGCTTCTGTAGGATTCACGGTTGCATGGCGATCTTGCCCCACTGCAACCTTAGAGGTAATGCTGGGCATTCCTTCTCTGCAAATACATCTAAGCAGAATAGGATTTCGAACTCAATCAAATGTTAAGCATTAGTTCTTAACAAACAAAATTGGAACCAATGAATAATAATTTCATTTTCTTTATTTTCCCTGAACAGTCAATGTATATTTTAAAAATAAATTGACTTCTTATTTTTAGGACTTACTTATGGTTTGACGAAAAGGGGAAAAAGACAAAGGTTGCAGCACCCCAATATATAGACTATGTGATGACATTTATCCAGAAAACTATTAGTGATGAGACTATTTTTCCTACAAAATATGGTAAGTTATCGTTTAAGCACGTAGGGCTTTTAGAATATTTCAATTGTACGTAAGAAAATATTTCGGTATCTGTACTATAAAGAATATGGGGAAATAGGTGATGGATTGTAATATAAGTTGTGAAATAAGGTTTTCAGTGTTTTATTGTTATATAATATGGGAAAAAAATTCGGAGAATTAAAAATTATGAACACCAAAGTTGGTAAGTGGATGTAATAGCAGGTTAAAAAAGTATTTCTCATAATGTGGCATGCTTTTTTGTATTGTAACACGAGGTGATTATTTCAATTGATTGAAGATTTTTGGTCAACTTCAAAAGCGATATTTTACCTGTATATTTTAAAAAAGTTTAATATTGTTTTCAAAAGAATTCCTTTACTTCTTAATTCTATTACTAGGTAAACTAATAAGTAATTCTTTTAGTTTATTCGATATGGTCTTCTTTTAACTCAATACAACCATTCCAGCGATTTTCCAATTTCTGTATGCCGTCCAAATAATACGATTCTAGAAGCTCTGCAAAATAGCCATTCATTTCATAAATTATCTCGTTCAAGCTATTTTTTTTATTTAGAGTCATCTCTTCAGATTTGATAACACCTAATAATCGGAGGGAGCCAAATTGTTGGATGATAAACCAATTCGAAGCTCGACTGTGCATTCGAAATGCATTATCTTGGAGAAACAAAACTCTTTTCTTCTGTATATGCAACTGTTTCTCACTGAGTTCCTGCTTCAATTTGTCCAATAATGCACAATAATATTGGTTATGCAGAATAATATTGGTTATTGATAGTTTTACCTTTTTCAAGATAATTAATTAAAACTATGCTCTTGCAATTCCAAAGTACGTGCCCATAAACTTTCCGACCTATTGAGCCACTCTTGGGCGCTTCGAAGAATTTTTGCCGTTGTTGTCCACTGCCGTGCGTTAATTCTTTTCTCTGGTGTGTAGTAGTGGATCCAGGTTTCATCATCGGTTACATAATCGACGCCACAATCCCGACGGCTTGCGCTTCATAAGGTCTAACATTACTGAGAAGTAGTCACACTCATACTCTCATCTTGGGTCATACTGTAACGAAAAAGCTAACAGCAGATGGTAAAAAGCTGTTCTTCACAAAAGCTTTACGAAGGACACCTTGCTCAATCTGGAGCTTCATTGGGGGTGGTTAAGGATATAGTTGATAGAGAACTTAGCCTTCTAATTTTTGGAATTTAGCTTTTCTTAATATTTCTTGTTTTCACATTGTCATATTATTATCTTTTTATTATCTAGGAACCTTTTATTTATCTCTCCATTAGTTCTCTATCAACTATATCCTTAACTACCCCCAATGAAGCTCCAGATTGAGCAACGTGTCCTTCGTAAAGCTTTTGTGAAGAACAGCTTTTTACCATCTGCTAAGTCACTACATGTAAATTTTTTTTATTTTTACATGTACTACATTTTTACATGTAGTGACTTAGTGGGTATGTCCTATGTTTTTAATATTCTTTTAATTGTGACGTCTACTTGTTAGTTACGAATTTTTACATGCTTGTCAATATTATTTCTTGAAAAAGACATGGATTTCCTGCCGAAACGTCGAAAAAATATATGAAAATGTTTTAGTATCAAATCACTTTTTTTATGAACCTAAGCCCAAGAAAATCAAACTAAATATATATATATATATATATATATATATATATATATATATATATTTATATATATATATATATATATATATATATATATATATATATATATATATATATAAATATATATATAGTAGTTTTGAGTTTCTTGAACCGTATTATATTTAATATAAAATTAATGTTTCTTGGGTTTAGGTTCAATAAAGATATGTTACATGTGGAACTAGAAATCAATAGAAATAAAAACAAACACCAACGCAATAAATGACAAAAAAGATACACAAAACCTAAATAAAATATATTTCAATCTGATTTAAACAATAATAATATAACATCATAAAAAGCTCTTAAAGTCATAACATATCTCCACCTTACCTTTTTCGAAAACATCAACGATACGCTCATATAAAAATAATTATATACTAATGACAGTAAACAATGAGATATCAGATATCAACTTTTATATGTCAGTTCGTTAATGTCTGTGTCACGTTTTACGTTTTGGTAAGTCATATATATATATATATATATATATATATATATATATATATATATATATATATATTTTAAATATCTGTTTGTCCTTATATATATACACATTTTAGAATCTTGACAAAGGCAAGGGTTTCCTGCCGAAACGTTGATTGATTGCAATGGAAAATAAAATCTAGTTCCACATGTAACATATCTTTATTGAACCTAAACCCAAGAAACATTAATTTTATATTATATATATATATATATATATATAATATATATATATATATATATATATATATCCGCAGTAAGAATCTACTACTAGTTTTATTTTAAATTATATATTTCCATTTAATTTTTATTATATTTATTTCAAACGTAATAATTTTTAATTGATATACTTAACTTGAGATTTCACCTTACACTTTTTTATAATTTTAGCAAATGAATTTCCTTCATCCTTTGAGTCAATAGTGAGAAAGATAGTTAGGCTGTTGTTCCACGTGATGGCGCATCTGTACGCCGCTCATTTTAAAGAAGTTGTAATGTTGGGTCTTCACGCCCACCTTAATCTGACTTTCGCCCATTTGACGGCCCTCCACCATCGGTTCTCTTTGATTGAATTAAAAGAAACGGAAATTTTAAGAGATCTTGAAGTTGCTCTCAGGCTGACAGAGGATAGTACGCAAGAGGGCGGCAATAATAATGACAAGTCCGAATCGTCGGACGTAGACTCGAAATCTAATTTAACTGAAGGAAGCTGTAAGTATAAGTAATTATTTTATTACAAAATATGAATAGGATTATTGATAGTTTATTTATTTTTTACATATAGAGCTGTATTGTTTGTTCTTTTACTTTATTTTAACGTCGTGAACATATTTTCAAGGGTTTTACTTTCTAAAGACAAGGACAAGGAAAAAAGACAATTTTTAAATTTTAAAAACAAAAAACATTCTATTTATAGTTATAATTTTTTCTATTCATTGTCGAGATTTTTTTGTTTTTCACAACAGCGGAGGGCGTCTTTCCAGGTTTATTTAGTAGTCATATATATAAAGTATCAAAAAAAATTTGGTTTACTGAGATTGGTGTAGTAGATTTTGAGAAAAACGTCTTCCACTTTCGAAGAATGTGATTTCGAGAAAAACTCTAATTTAAAGTATTTTTATTGTAATTTTATAGATTAATATATCCAAATTTTTTTTTGCCTCCAATCAGCGATTCCTGGTGCATATTGGGTACACTCACTGTGCAAAGCTTTTTTTTTTCATAACTCTGCCCTCTTTTGATGCCCCGTTGCACTTCTTATTGGCTTGAGCAATACGAGCTTCGACGATATTTTCCGGCCAACTCGTTGCTATTTCTCCTATTTTTATTTCAATTTGTATTTTTATCTCCAATTTTGCCGAGGAACTAAGTAATTCAGAATTGTTTTCTGCAATAAACTGATACCTTTTAATTCTCTTTTCATATCGTGTTTATTTTAATGCACCGACCTCGATTTTTCCGATTTTCAAAATGTAATTTTCGATTTTCTCCTTTCAGTACCCTGTCCGATTATCGAACGTTGGCGATTATATTGGCAATAATAACTTTGTTTATGGCGGTTTCTTGATACTATTCTCGGGGCTAGGAGCCAGGATGTTCTTCGTCAGCCTTAGCCTCTCCTTCCGGCGATCTTGCCCTGTATTATGAGATGTAGAAGGTTATACCTCTCTGGATGTCTCATTACATGACAAAATATTGTAACTTTCGAATTTTTATCGTTTTTTGTTATTTCTGTGCTCTTTTTCATTCGATGTAAAACTATTTCATTTCTTATTCGATCAACCCAACTTATCCACATCGATAAATCCACATCTCAAAGGCCTCTAATTTTTTCATTAATGTCTCTGTAAGGGTCCAGCTCTCCATACCATACAGAAATGTGGAAAATATGTAGCAGCGTATTAATCTGATTTTAAGATTTAACGTAATATCTCTATTAATTAGAATTTTTTTTAATTTATAGAAGGCGGCTCTGAACCATAAGTTTTAGCCCATATTCATCACATGCTTCGGTTCACATCATCACCACTGGCTCGACAACCCTTTTTGGGTCTTGGCCTGTTCAAGGATTCTTCTCCATTCTGACCTGTTTCGTGCTTTTTTTTCCAGTTTTTAATTTTTAATGTTGTTATATCATTTTCTATTTGTTCTACGTATCTCAGCTTCGGTCTTCCTCTTGTTCTTTTTCCTACTGGCACTTGTTTGAATATTTTGTTTGGTATTTCGCCTTCTTCCATTCTTTCCACATGTCCAATCCAACGTAGCCTTCCTATTTTAATGAATGTTATGATATCCGGATCCTGGTATATGTTGTATAGTTCAAAGTTATACCTTCTCCGCCAAATCCCGTTTTCTTTTGTGCCCTTATATATGTGTCGCAAGATTTTTCTTTCAAAGGTAGCTAATAACGTTTCCTCCCTTTTAGAGAGTGTCCAGGTTTCTGAACCGTATGTGTATTCTCTGGTAGCTTTTTATTCAACCATATCTTTCTTATCAGCTCATGTATGGTTTTAAGTAATGTGTCTCCTCCTTCTTGCAGTAGCTCCGATGATATTTGATCCGATCTCGGTGATTTATTGTTCTTTAATTTGTACACTGCTGTTCTAATCTCTGCTATTGTTGGTGAACTCTTTTCTCTGTTGTCTGCTTGGTCTAATGGTATATCAGGGTTCATCTCCGTCCTATTCACCCCAAGCTTTTCCTTAAAATGTTCTGTCCATCTTCTAAGTATCTCTTGCTGTTCTGTCAATATATTACCCTCCTTATCTTTACACATCGTTGTTCTCGGTTTGAACTCTTTTCTGCTTTTGTTGAGTTTCTGGTAAAATTTTCTTGTCTCTGTTGGTTTACTTAGCTTTTGTAGTTCTTGAAGTTCTTTGTTGATATATTCTCTCTTCTTTCTTCGGTGAATTTTCTTTTCTTCTTTACGTAGTTGTTTATATTCTTCCTCTGCTTGTCGGGTTCTGTGCCTCTGTTGCATCTGTAGATATGCTCTGTTTTTTCTTTCTGTTATAGTTTGACATTCTTCGTCAAACCAGTGATTCGTTCTTGTTCTTCTTTCTTTACCTTCTATGCCCAACACCTCTTTAGCTGTTTCTTTTATGATTTCTCTGCACTCTTCCCACTCCTCATTTAGGTTTTCATGTTTTGGTCTGTTTTCTAGTTTGATGCTTATATTTTCTTTGTACTCTCTATTTTTGTTTGTTTCTTTGAGTCCTTCTATATTGTATCGTTCATGTTTAGAGCCTCTTTCCTTTTTGATGTTTGAAATTCTAGCCCTTATCCTACTTTCGACCAGGTAGTGATCAGAATCCGCATTTGCCCCTCTTCTGGTACACACGTTTATTATATTCGATTGGTGTCTTGAGTTTACAATAACATGATCTATCATATTCACTGTAAGTCCGTCTGGTGATTTCCAGGTGCCTTTGTGACTATCCTTTCGAGCGAAGTATGTGCTGGCAATCACCATGTTAAGTGATCTTGCTAGGTTTACCAACCTATTGCCATTGTCATTTGATTGCTCATGGAGACTGTGCTTACCTATTGTGGGTTGGAATTGCTGCTCTCTTCCAACTTTTGCGTTTAAGTCTCCATAAATTATTTTTATATCACTTTTTGGGCATGACTGGTATGCGGACTCTAATTCATCATAAAACTCTTCTTTTTCTTCTGTGGGGGCATGCGCATTAATTAGGCTGTAGTTGAAGAAACGTCCTTTAATTCTTAAAATACACATTCTGGGACTGATGGCTCTGAAGTCTTTTATTATATGTCTTACTCTCTTGTTAACTATGAATCCAGTGCCCAAAATGTGATCTTTAGGAGCGCAGCTGTAGAAAATGGTATGGCTCTTTTTTTCCATAATATTGTTTCCAATCCACCTCATTTCTTGTATGGCAGTTATGTCAATTTTGTATCTACTTAGTTCGTTTAAGAGATTTTGGAGAGCCCCTAATCTGTACAATGTTCGAACATTCCATGTCGCAACCCTCAAATCGTGTTCCTTTTTCTCGCACAGTAGTCGTCGTTTAATCAGCCCGGCTTTTCTTCCTTGAACGTTCATAACTCATGGTTTTTCTAGGAGAAGGTAGTTAACCTTCAGCCCAACCCCCTATTCGTCGGAGGACCAAGACTCCCTTCTTCGTCAGCCCTGACCCCACCTTCCATTGGGGGTTGGTTACCCAATCTCCAGTGGGGTTGCTCAGGTTACCGGTGTGTACCCTGTTTATAAGTCGGTTACCCTGTTTATAAGTCGTTGCAGATCTTCTTCATTGGAGGCAATAAGTACCGTATCGTCTGCATATCTGAGATTGTTGACATTAATTCCGTTCATTTTAATGCCTGTATCTCCAACTAAGGCTTCTTTAAAAATAAATGCGGAGTAGATATTAAAAAGTAGAGGCGATAGAATACATCCTTGCCTCACTCCACGTCGTATTTTCACTGCTTCCGTCGTGTTGTGTCCAGCTCGTATGTTTGCACATTGATGCCAATAAAAATTGTTGATAATATGGAGGTCTGGGTCATCAATTCCCACCTGTTGCAAGACACCTATAAGTTTGTCATGGTTTACTCGGTCAAATATCTTTTCATAAAACACATATATACTGATTGTTCTATATGCCTACATCAACCATGACCTGCAAACTGAAGAATGCTTCTCTGGTTCCAAGGTTGTTTCTGAAACCAAATTGTGTTTCACTTAGTTGTACTTCTATTTTGTTGTACATTCTCGAGTGCAGTATTCTTAAAAAAAATTTCAGTACATGACTCATCAGACTGATAGTGCGATGATCGCTACACTGTTTGGCATTTATTTTTTTCGGTATAATTACAAATGTTGACAGTTGCCAGTCTGTTGGTATATGTCTTGTTTCGTATATTTTATTAAAGAGGCTTAGAAGATAATGTGTGCCCTTATTGTCGAGCAGTTTGATTATTTCGCTTAGAATTTCATTTGGATCGGTTGCTTTCCTATTCTTTGATAGCTTTATAGCTCTTTCCACTTCATCGAGTGTTATATTTGGACCGGTCGATATATTTTTGATCTGAATGTCTGTTCTATCGTCATCAAACAGCTCCTTAATATATTATTTTCACCTTTCTAATCTGTCTTGTTCATTGACTATATTTCCTTGTTTTTCAAGCAAACTACTTGCAGTTGATCTATATGTTCCAGATATTTCTTTTACGTTTTCGTACATATTAAACGTGTTATTCTTTTTCTGCAGTTCTTCTATTTCAAGACATTTGTTGCTGTACCAATTTTTCCTTTGCATCCCGGATTTTCCTTCTGATTTATTTATGAATTTTATTGTATTCTTCAGTGTTTTTATTTTTCTGGTTTCACCTGCTTTCCATTAGTCCCAATATTTCATCAGTCATCCATTGTTGTTTGCGATTATTAATAGTTTTATACTTTTTAGTTGTTTCTTGCATAATGGTTTTGACATGATTCTAGTGGTCTTCGACGTTATGTATTTCTTTCGAATTTTCGAACTTCGTTTTTATCTCTTGTATAATTTCATGACTATTATTTTGAATACAGTCAGTGTTTATTCGGTTAGTCGGTTGTTGGCGTTTTACTATTTTTAGTTTGAGTTTTATGTCACTGATTAATAAGTTATCATCTGAGGGGGCATCGGCTCCAGGTAGTGTTTTAGTTATTTTGATTGAATTTCGATACCTCTCGTTAATTGTTATATAAT